CCAGCGCTGAGATTACAGGGCTGCGCCACCCTTCCAAGGGCTTGGTTAGTTTTCAGTTTTTTTTTTTTTTTTTTTTTTTTTTTTTTTTTTTTGCATTAAGATGACAGCCACAAGGCAGCCTTATGGAAAGCCCACAGAATTTAGTGTAATCAGTGTACTGTGACCCCTTCCACGCCAGAACGGGACGTTTCTGTTCCTGGGGCCCGGCATTCATCATCTTTGTCCTCCTGTCTCCCCAACGGGGCCACCAGGCATCTACTTTCTGTCTTTAGGATATAAAAACCAACAACAACAAAAACCACACGCATGCACACACACATGCAGACACACACCCTGACACACAGGCGCACATGCACGACGTGCCTATTGGTCTCATAGGCTGAAACTGGTAATTGGTGTTTTACTTCCATTTATTTCAAGAACTATAAAAGCAAACTTTCCTGTAGATTTTATTTGCCTGTAATGTTTTAAGAACATTGTTTTTCCTCTTCCGCAAGTTCATCGCCTGTCAGTTGTGATCTGCTGGCACTTCAGGGCTTTTCCTAAGGCTCTTGGGCCATTCGCTACAAAAATCTGAATGATTTTTGTAGCGAGTGGCCCAAGTATGAATTGCTGAATTATTATGGTGGTCATCTAATATGGCAGAAGCCCTTAAAAGAACAGCTCATCTTCCCCAAGATCACCTCCCGCTTCTTCTCCAACTCAGCCCAGGGCGCAGTTTCCTCTCGCCTTCCGGCAGCCTCAGGGAAGGCCCCCGTGCGCTCCTCAGGTATTTCTAAATATCCCCTTCATCTTTGTTCCACGCCAGAGAATTCCTTATCTTCCCAGATTCTCTCCGTGTCCTCCAAGCTAATAAAGCCCCTTCCCCTTCTTCCTTCTGCCTGCTTCCCTGCTGCGACACCGTCGAAAGCCTATCAGCGAGGACCTCGGGGTCGGGACCGAGGCCGTTCGCGGCCTGCAGCACTTACCGTGCAGACCAAGGCAGGGCGTGCGGCCCAGCTCGAACGAAAGCAGAACAGCCTGGAGGCCTCTTCCCATCCTGCACCATTTAGGAGCCAGCCCTCTGCTGATCCTAGAATTGCTCAAAAACCAGCTGAGCTTGCAAATCAACGAACCAAAGCCGAGCGAACCCGATGCCCTTCCGCGGGGAGGCGGGTGGCCGGCTGGGCGCGATCTCCGCTCCCGTTAGGGTCGTCTTGTTTGCTTTTTAATACAATGGGCCGGGGAGACGGCTCAGTAGAATAAGGTTTTTAATACACAAACGCTGCGCCGCCGCCTGGAAGAGACCTCTGCTCCGTCCGAGGTGTTGGGCCAGGGCCTGGGGAGACCCCGGCGGCCGCAGAGGCGGAGCGGGGAGGGCGAGGGGCGGAAAGGACGACGGGGGCCTAGGGACCGCCGTTGCGGTCGTCCTGAAAGCATCGTTTGACTTTTTCAAACTAAGGGAATGTAGTATTTTTTAAAAATCGAATGCAGTAGGAAAGAAAGAAGGGGGGGGAGGAAAAGAAGGGAAGGAAGGGAAGAATGGAGAAGAAAATAAAGCCACACAGCCAGGAAACGCCGCACAGGGGTCCCTTCCCTCCCTCCCCCAGCCACTCGGGTCCCGCAGGGGGCCCAGCGTCAGTAGACGGCGGGATTCGTGGGCCTTCCGCCCAGACGCGCAGGAGCAGGCAAGACAGGAAGGAGGAAAAAAAAAAAAAGAAAAGTGGGCGCACGGCGCTTGCGCACAGCAGGCTCCCGAGCGCTGGTACGGTGGCGCGCGGTGTAGAGGCGAACGCGCACGCCGGTGAACGCGCCCCGGATGCTTGCTCTGCGGGGTTGCAGGAGGCACAAGGGTAAGCGAGATTCCGCCAATGCGGGAAGAATCTGCGAGTCAAAAGGGATCAGAGTGGAAGGAAACTTTGGTGTTTCTCAGAGACCAAAATAGCTCTTTAACCTCCCCGTCGGGGAATCGAACCCCGGTCTCCCGCGTGACAGGCGGGGATACTCACCACTATACTAACGAGGACAGGCTGTGAGCTCGAGTGCGCTAGATCCATCCCTATGCGTGCAGCCACTCGACTGGGCTTTGGCCCAGCATGGGTCCTCGTGCGTAGCGCCTCTCCCACCAACTCCAGGCACGGAGCCAGATCGGGACTTGGGGACTTGGGACGCAGGACCCCGCGCGGGGCTGTGGCGTTCTATAGGTGTTTCTGGACCACACTGCGCCAGGGTGAGGGGATGTAGCTCAGTGGTAGAGCGCATGCTTTGCATGTATGAGGCCCCGGGTTCAATCCCCGGCATCTCCACTTTTTAACCCTTCCTCCCCCAAATTGGTGCCACAACCCTGGGGTACGTGGAGACCCAGGCGGTCTGCGATTTTATACCTGTGCTCCCAATCCAGCTACATCACCCTGAAGGAAAACTGTATTTTAAGAAACTTTGTTTCAATAACGACCTACACCGGGACTGAAAGCGAAGTGAAGTCACTGCCCCGGTGTGATAAATAGCAGGAGAGAGGCACCGTGTAGCATCCTGCCTGCACAGCGGCACACAGGGGCCCCGGATGAACAGTTAAGTAGAGCAGCCCGCTGTTGTGACAGTTTCACCAAGGAGCCGACGTCTCTGCAGCTGGCCATGCGCGAGCGAGGGCCGCTGCCGTGTACCCGATCCCAGGCCTCTTACCCTGGGCGCCCGCGCAGGGCCAGCCAGGAGCTCCAGCCCTTAGACTGATGGCGTGGAGAGGGGCTGTGCAGAAACAGCCTAGCGCGCGGCGAGGAGCGGAATACGCGGCCCCAGCTGGAGCGGGAGGAGGCGGAGCCGGGCACTCGGGTTCGGTCCTGGGCTCCCCCTGGCGGCCAAGTAGGCCAATGTACACAGGAAACCCCAGGGAGGGCGCGGCTCTGGAAAATATGGAGGGGCAACCCCTTTATCCTACCGGATGCAACTCCAGCCTCACCGAGCGTGTCGCTCCCACCCGGGTCTGATCCCACCGATGGCTCGTATCCGCTGTAAGTCCCTGAACAATCATCCGGGTCACCTGTGAAGGCTGACCTCCATTCACCGTTACCCAGGCCTTAAATCATCCCCAGCAATGGGGACTACCCCGCTCCAGGCCTTTACACTGAACTGCATACCCCAGCTTTTTTTTTTTTAAAGAATTATTTATTTATTCATTCATTCATTTTGTGTGTGTGGCCAGCTCAGCCCACCAGGGGGCGGGGCTGTCTGGCATGTGGTGCTGGGGGATTGAACCGCAGTCCCTGTTTTGCTTAGCTTAGCTTGTTCTAAGTAGGTGCTTTAGACCACTGAGCCATCTCACCAGCCCATACCCCAGCTTTTATTGCATTTGAGAAAGTTACTCTGTATGTCACTAGGTTGTCCATTCTGGGCTCCAACTCATGATCCTCCTGCCTCAGCCTCCCAGACTGCGACGGCGACAGGCATGCACCACCATGCCTGGCTCACCTCACTTTTATTTTTGGTACAGGTGCTTATACCACCGAGCTACCTTCCCAGCCCTCGCCTTGCTACTTTGCCCTATCCCTAAATCCAGAGCTCAGGGAGCCAGGTTTGAGACTTGTCTCGACGTCTCCACACTTGCCTGCCCTACAGATACTTTTTTGTCTTCTGCAAAGCCTGTTGCTGGGGGGCTTAGGGAGATGTCTGGCAAGCGCAAGGGTCTGAGTTCAATCCCCCGGGGGTGGGCAGCCACAGGACATCCGGGGGACAGGAGTTGCTTGGGGCCCAGGGCGGTGGGGGGCCGAGGGCGCTTCTGTGGGAACAGCTACAAGGCCCAGAAAGGCCTTCAGAAAGGTCATGCATGAGGCTGTGCGATGTAGACAAGTACTAGTCTAGCACGCATGTGTGTGCCACACACACACACACACACACACACACACACACGAGAGGTGTGGCCCATGTCTGTTATTCTAGGAATCCAGCCTGGGCAACTAAGTTAAGCTTCTCTCCATGCAGTAGGGACTGGATGTGCAGCCCAGTGGGAAGGGCCTGGAGTGCTCTCCACCCTCTGGCCAGCAGGCCTTTCTTGGTAAAACTGAGCTAAGGCTTTGTGTCCACTGGACACTCACAGCCCAGGCTTACCTCCAACTCACAGAGGTCCTCCTGCCTCAGGCTCAGCCTCCTGACTGTGCCATGTGCAGCTGGCAGCTGGGCCCCCTTTTACTTGGCAACATAACCATGTGCTCAGGTACTGTGCCCCCCACGTGCACCCTAAGAACTACAGGTCGACAGGTAAGACAGCACAAGTCACATATTGGATGATTTTACAAAATGGGCAAAGATTTTAAATAAATATACAGGTGGGGCCGGGAGGGCTCAAGCTAAACATGGCAACGTGGGTGCAGGGTTTTCTTTAGCTTGCAAAGGCATGCTGGCACCAGGACCCTCAAGGCTGATGCTCACCGTGCGCCAATACCTCGGAGGGCTTGGAATAACAAGCTGCTGCTTAGAGCCAGAGTGGGGCTGACAGCTGCGGGCCAAGCGCCAAGCTCCCATGGCCCCTGAACACGGCCGGGGCAGGCATTGTGGGTGCCGAGAAAAGTAGCCACCAGGGCCCAGCTCTGCTCAGGGGGGCAGTTGAGGATCTGCTGCTTGGACCATGGGCGGGGCACCCCAACCTGGGGCCCCTGAGGGTCTCCTGAGCAGCTGGGAGGTGACACATCAGTGCCGAGGTTGCCTCTGGGAGCCAGGCCTTGTGGGCTGCACTGGAAGCTGGGCTGAGCCCAGGGGCGGTGCAGGGTCCCGGGGTGCACTTCAGAGTTGGAGCGCAAGTCTTCTGTCGTATCCTGCCTGCATGTGGTTGCATGGCTCGCCTCTTGGGACACAGGACAAGGCCTCCTGATGCCATCCGGCCTGGGCCCCCTCCTGGGCACTGGCCTCCGCCCCGCCTCCACAGCGGCCCGAGGGCAGGCTGCCGCCCTGCTTAGCACACAGAAGTCCTTGGTCCTGGCTGCGCTGCGTGAGGGCCTGGTCAGCAGAGCCGAGTTCCACAGGGGCACCGGGAAGTGAGGCCACCATCCAGTGTCAGAGCAGCAGGAGGAAGGCACTGCACACACAGTGCTCCCTGTGGAGCAGTTTTCCAGGCGCGACCTGGGCCCTAACTCCCATTCGCTCCCAGCCCGCAGCCAGGGGCCTAGTCAGTGCTGTGTGGTGGGGGGCCAGGCTTTCTCCACATCCAGGTGTGTGGCTTGCGGGAGCCACTCCAGGTACTCTGCCAGGAGGTCTGCAGGGAGGGGAGAGTCGTGTCAGGCGGCTGGCCCAGCAGGCTGAGCCAGCTCCCAGCATGGTGCCCCAGCCCCACTCACACTTAGGGCTCCGCTTCCACACGGTCAGCAAGGCATCGCGGCAGTCAGCCTTCTCAGCCACCAGGGCCTTCAGGAGCGTCTCCGTCCTGGGCTGTAGCCTAGGGGAGATGGACACGGGGTGGCAGCTGGGCCTGGGGGGCTGGGGAGCTCACAGGGGATGACTGGGCTGAACAGAGGGGTGGGCATGTGCGGGAGTGATGCTGCCAGGGGGAACCTCTGCTGCTCCAAGGAGCCGACGCAGGCAGGTCTCAGCCGCTGCTTAGGGAAGCCGTACCTGGCCCAGGTCTTCAGCATTGTGCTGGGGCTGGACAGCAGGCAGCCCCGGAAGGCGGCCAGTTTGCAGAAGACCTGCAGGGAGACCACAGGTGGTGAGCCCAACCACCCCGTCCATGGAGCCCAGTGCAGGGCTGGAGCCAGGCCGCCTACCTGCCCTTCCAGTAGGAAGCGGGCGAAGTGCTTGTAGCGGTCGAGGCCCTCAGGAAAATCCACTTCGATGGCGGGGAGCGGCCAGCCAACACGGTCTGTGGGGCACAGCTGGTGAGAGGCACAAGAGGGACCCGAGGGGCAGGATGGAGGGGATGCCAGGGCCCGGCAGGCACTCACAGAACACGCTGGCACGGTGGCACTGCACGCGGCCCCGCTCTGGGCAGTAGGTGGGGGCGGGCTCCTCTAGGGGCGGCTCAAACTGGCAGTAGGCGGGCAGCAGGGCTGGGATCCACCGCTCATCCACGGCTGATACGCCTGGCAGGAAGGGCTGTGAGCTGGGGCTGCGAGGGGTGGGCACTGCCAGCCCTAAGTGCCCGTGCTACCTTTCATGTACATCTTGGTGGTCTCCACAATCTCCTGGTAGACCACGAACTCGGGGAGTTCTCGGAAGAGCACAGAGCTGGGGTGGATGAAGATGGGGTCGTCCAGCAGCGGGGTCTGCAGAGAGGTGGTGGCTTGAGGAGGGGAGTCCCCAGCACCCCAGATGGATCTGACCCCACTCCACCAGTAGGACAGACAGCCATGTCCACCCCGCGACACCTGATTTCTCAGCCACTAAGAGGGACGGGCAGCCACACAGGCCGAAGGTGTGACAGATGGGAGACAGGAGCATCTACTCGGACAGAGAGCGGGAGCAGGAGGACCCAGAGGGTTTTTCTCTGGGAGGTAACAATGTCCTAAAGCCCACAGTGAGACTGAGGAGCCACGTGCTCGATTTTATGGCAGTGAGTGAGGCTTGCTGAAGCTCTGTAAGTGCAAGGCTGTGGCCGGCGAGGTGGCGCACGCCTGCAGTCCCACCCGAGGGAGGCTGAGGGGGAGGCTGCACCGACTTCCTGGGCTGTCCGGGGCCACGCAGTGTGAGCTCAAGGCTGCCCAGAACGCGGCCTGACCGTGGCTCAAAAAGACAAAGAACACCCTCCAAAAGCCAGCGGTGCACCTCAGCTTGCAGAGGAGCAGCGACTCCACCCCTGGCCTCTCCTTCCTGGGACCCCCAGGCTGGGGGCTGGGCCCCTGCTGACCCCCCACCTTGTAGGCGTTTCTCCACTTGTCATCCAGAAGCTCCTCGCTCTGCACTCTGCGAGCCAGGTGGTCACCCAGGCCGGCCGTGACGATCTGCCGCAGGTAGGTCACTTGGCTCTCAGTGGGTGGGTCCATCTTGGGGTCCACAAAGAGCCCGGCCTCGGGGCACACGGAGTTGACTGGGGATGAAGAGTGTGAAGGTTGGCCTGGTGTCCCAGACGGGCAGCCTCCCCTTCCGCTAGAGGCAGAGCGGACGGCAGCTGGCCTGAGGGCGTGGCGCGTGTACCTGAGGTGGTGAGCTGGCCCCGCAGGCGCCGCACCTCCAGCATGGCCTTGAAGCGCAGCCCATTGGCCTCGCAGAACTCCCGCGAGCAGCCAGCATACTCGCAGGCCCCCACCGCACCTGCAGGATGAGCAGGGTCCTCACGCGCTGGCTGGAACCCCCAGGACCCCAGGACCCAGCCCTCCCACTCCCTCTGGGGCACCGACCCAGCAGCACCATGACATCACCCAGCTTCAGAGAGGCTCCCTGCCCTGCCCAGGTCCTCTTCATCTGTGCCACCCTGGCGCGCCGGCCCCTCAGGGCCACAAGCTCTTCCTCACTGGCAGCAGGTCTGCAGACAGACAGGCAGGCAGGCAGGCAGACACACAGACACAGACAGACAGACAGACACAGACACAGACACAGACACACACACACACACACACACACACACACACACACAGATAACAGGCCTGAGCACACTCGGGGCCGGTGCAGGCCAGACTTGACTCCCCCCGTCCCACCTGCAGCCATCAGGGCTGACTGCACGGACAGAGCCTGCTGCAAAGGCACATGCCTGCAATTCCAGCCACCTGGGACGCTAAAGCAGGAAGATCGCAAGTTCAAGTCCAGCCTGGGTAACTCAGTAAAGTTGTCCTAAGATAAAAAAGCCTGGAGCTGTCGCTCCATGTTCCCTGGGTTCACTTACATGGTTCTTTTTTTTTCAGAATCAGGGATTAAACTCAGGCCCTTGCAATCCAGGAAAGCGCTTATTCCACTGAGCCATCTCCCGGCCCCATACTGTATGGTATTTTTAAAGAGTAAGGTAAAATCACGTGGGCTGTAGGGGGCATGCCTGAATCCCAGCACGGTGGAGGCTGAGGCAGGAAGATCACCTGAGCGCAGGCCAACCTGGGCTACACAGTGAGTCCAGGACAGCATGAATGACGAAGTGAGACCCAGTCTCAAAACAAAAAGCAAAAGAAAAGCAAAACACAAGCTGTTGGAGCAGCCTTCGTGGGCTGGGGATGGAATCCTGCCCGTGGCTCCAGAGCGTGAAGCTAACCATGGGGCAGGTCAGGTGAGGAGTTAACTTACAGCCCTACACGCACCCCAGCTTGCCATCAGCCCCGCCCCACCTCAGCCAGCCTCAGAAGCTCGTCACGACCCAGGGCCCCTCAGGAAGGCCGCCAGGGCTGCTCGGACGCACTGTCAGAGGTACAGGCTGGACCCGCCGGGCACAGAGTTCACAGCTGCTAGACTGAGCATGAAACTGGCACCTTAGCCCACACCCATGATCCCAGCGCTTGGGGGGCTGAGACAGAATGAACAGCGCAGGTTCCAGACCAGCCTGGGGCTACAAAAGTGAGCTCAAGGCCGGCCTGAGCTGCAGAGCGAGATCCTGCCGCAAAGACAGCACAAGCTGTCACAACAGCCTCTGCAGGGGCTCGGGCTACACAAAGGCAGTGCTGTTGTGGGGGCAGCACAAGGGCTGGCAAGAGCTAGGGCGCAGGATGTCGGGTGGGTGGCAAAGGAACCACGGGGACCCCAAGGTTTCCTCTGCAAAGCCCCAACCACCACACATGGCCTTTATTTTTTATTTTTATTTTTTTTGGCGGAACCGGGGATTGAACTCAGGTCCTTGCGCTTGCCAGGGAAACGCTTATTCCACTGAGCCATCTCCCCGGCCCCTGGCCTTTATTTTTTAAATGTCTTTTTATTGTTTTTAGAGCCAAGGTCTATGTACTCCAGGCTGCCTTTGAACTTGAGGCAATACTCCTGCCTCAGCCTCCCAAGTGCTGAGATTACAAATGTATGCCACCTGGTCTGGCTTTTATTTTTGCATTAACAGGAATTACAGCCACGTCCTTCACACTGAGCTACACTCTCAGCCCATTTTAAATTTTATTTTTGAGACAGGGTCTCACAGAGTTGCGAGCTGGGCTTGAACTTGCGAGAGTCCTGCATCAGCCTCCCAGTTCAGGCAGGCAGGCATGTACCACCAAGCCCCAACTGCTCTGTGTTAGGCCCCTAAGTGTCCTTTTCTGGAATCACTGATCCTGGACACCGTGTGCTCCCTCACTCCAAGCCTCAGGATGCCACACATGTTGCAGAGGAGCAGGGGGGCCATGGGGACATGGGTCACGCACCTGTCCAGCTCCTCGAAGAGCTCGCGCACGGTCATGGCGGCCACAATGGCGATGGCATAGGGCAGGCAGCCGTGCTGGCGGCTGAGTGCCAGCATCTTGGCGCAGCGGGGTGCCACAGGGAAGGTGGCCATGGTCCTACCCAGCGCTGTGACCGGGCAGCTCAGCCGCGATGTCTGCAGCTGCTTCACCCTGGGGACGAGGCCAAGATGTGTGGGCGCCCAGGTAGGGAGCGGTCCTCTGCCCTGCACTGCGCCCCGTCCAGCCTCTCTTACCTTTCTGTTTTCGGGGGTGCCTGCAGGGCCCCCAGCGCAATCAGCAGCTCCTCTGCCGCCACTAGGGCCTCCATGGAGGGCGGCGTGGGGAAGGGGAAGTTGATGACCTGGGCCAGGAGGAGGGGTGCTGGATGGGCACCGGGCGCCCCTGCTGCCGCCCAAGAAAGCAGGTGCAAGCCCTCACTGCAGAGCAACCCCTGGGCCACCGCCTGCACTCGCCGTCTGTGCCTGGGCACCCGAGAACGCGCTGAGGCTGCAGGTGGCAGGCGGGGAGCAAGGCTGCAGCCAGCACCAGAGCCCACAGGTGCTGCCCTGTCAAGCAGCGCTGGGGACCACAATGTGACCCTACACCAAGCCTCCCTGACATGAAGTCATGTGACCCACAGCCAGGTCCCCTCTGCAGGCAAAAATGGGCACAGGCTTGGCACAAATGCCGCTGTCACCATCAGGGCCAGAACCCAGCCCAAGATACTCTGCAGGGGCCCTGAGTCAGTGCAGAAGGAGTGGAGTCCACGCCTGTGCTCCCTGAGGATTCCGCATGGCCATGCGTGGGGCTGTACGCAGTTAGAAGGCAGGGCCTGGCGGGGGTCCCTGGGACCAGGCCTGACCACTGTGCCCTCTCCTGCCAGGCCCCTGTGCCAGGCTGTTTGCCACGAGTGGCCAACCACGGACTACAAGTGTGAGCCAAAATAAAGCTTTCTGCTCTTAAGTTCTACACTGTGTCCCAGCAGCAAGAAAGGGGCCGACACTGGGAGGACGGGGTGCTCTGGCCAGGCACCATTCAGGGCAGGATGGCTGCCTTCTTCAGGGAGAGGATGGGGCCAGCAGGCGCCACCGGAGCGGGAAGGGTCTTCCGCCTGGGTGGGAGCTGGGTACCCAAAGGGGCTGTGCTGCAAACCCCAGGGTTACAACCCACCAAGCATCTGCTGAGCCGCATCCCACAGGGGCCGCCCCACGTCAGCACAGGGACACAGCAGGAACAGGCTGAGGCCGCCACTGACCTTCTCGATGTTGAGCGCCTTCATCTGCAGGATCAAGTCCTCCACGGGCTTGCGCGTGATCTCAGGGGCTGGAAACTGCTCGAAGTCCCCAAAGACGGCAGAGGAGTACAGCCTGGGCAGGGACGGAGGCCGTGAGTGTGGGGTGCACACAGCCCTGTGCAGCTGGCCCAGCTGCCTCGACCTCTGCCATGGAGCTGCCTGCTTCTTCCCCGTCTCCCACCTGCCTTCTCCAGTTTCTTGTGCGTGACTTAAAACCATGAGGAAAAGGCCAGCAAGGAGTCTGGCGGGGGCGGGAGGGAGGCACACAGGAAGCGGGCAGCAGGGACTGCAGCAGCGTCTGCTGCAGCTCTGAGGCCGACACGACAAAGCGGCAAGGCGGCAGTGCCCAGGCGCGGGCTGGGGAGGCTCTCTGTGGCAGCGCTGGTGCTCCTGGAGGCTGAAGCAGGAGGCTGCGGTGTTGCGGCCCAGCCCAGTCAAGTTAGGAATTAAGTAAGAATGTGTCTCAAAAAAAAAAAAAAAAAAAAAAACCAGTCTCAAAACATCAAAAGGGGGGGCCAAAGGGGGGCAACCTGCTCGGGTCCCCTTCCTGTCCCTCACTCAGACAGCAGCTTTCTCTCTCTCAATAAATATTATACTCTTAAAAACAAAACCAAAAATCCTCAAAAGGACCGGGTGACCCCTCAGTGTGCGGCCTGGGTACGGAGGGGAGAAGAGGCGGGGCTGGGGCACTAACCTCACCATCAGCCACAGATGCTAACAGACTGCTCTCTGGACACAACAGCGAAGTGACAGACAGAGCATGGGAAGAGCTCGGGGGATGGGTCTCCAGGCCTTCATGCATGGCTGAGGGGCGCCTGGAGTCTCCTTCCCACCTGGCACTACTCCTGCGTCTATACTCAGATAGCTGCCTGCACCCCAGTGTTTGCAGCAGAGGGGGATGGCGGGGAAGGGGAATTCAACACTACCTCCTCTGGGATACTACCCAGCCGCCTTCTGAGCACAGTACCAACACGAGCTGGGACACGACGGACCCTGAAAATCAGTAGTGACAGCAGCCAGGCACGCGAGGCCACACGTGACACTCATTCCATGCAGGCTACATATCCCAAGCAGGCTGCCCTGGGGTCCACTGCATGTGAGGGCTTCCAGGGCGGGGACGAAGGGGGCACTGATGGGCATCGGGTGTGCCCAGGGTCTTGCGGGCTGATGAGAAGTTCTGACACAGGTTCTAGAGGACGCGTGAACAGCACGCAGCCAGGCGGAGTGGGCACGCCTGCTGTCCCAGTGCTCGGAGAGGCTGAGGCGGAAGGATTACAGGTCTCATCTCAGCCACGGGCAACTTAGGAGACCTTGTCTCCCCAAAAATATAAAATTAAAAAAGATTGTGTTAATTATTGAGACTGTCCTCCCAATTTGATTTGAAACTGTTTCATTGCTATTTATCAATAAAATTATGGAAAAATAAAAAAGGTTGGAGATGTAGCTTAGCACAAAGATCCTAGGCTTAAAAATTTTGAAAATAAAGAAAACAGAATTGTGCACGAGAAGGAGAACCAGCTCAATTAATCCGATAACAAAGGAAGTGGCAGTGGAAAACAAGATGGCCTTCAAGGTGGGTGGCGCATCCTGAGAGGGCCGGGGACCCACCTGTAGCAGTGGCCTGGCTCTGTCCGGCCCGCCCGGCCCGCTCGCTGGTCAGCAGACGCCTGTGACACCCAGGTGACACGGAAGGAGGACACGCCGGTGACACGGTCATAGTAGCGCTTCTTGACCTTCCCACAGTCCACCACATATTTAATGCCAGGGATGGTGAGGGATGTCTCGGCCACATTGGTGGCCACGACACACAGCCTGGTCCCCTCTGGGGGAGGCCTGAAGACCTAGGGTTGGGGGAGACAGGAAGCATCAGCATCAAGGGCCAGCTCGTGAGCCAGAGGGACAGGGTCGCCCCAGGGCAGGGACTTCCGCCCAGGTGGTGCAGCCGGGCCATCCTCCGCCTGGCCACACGACCCTGGGCACACTCCCAGGAAGCTTTTCTACTCTCCTGCCCTTGCCCAAGCATGGGGTTGGCCCTGGATGGGGAGGCCACCCGCAGAGCCCTACCTGTGCCTGCTTCTCGGGGGCCAGCAGGGAGTAGAGCGGCAGCACATGCAGCGGCAGGGAAAAGTCCAGCCGCTCACCTAGGGACAAAGATGAGGCGCTGGCACCTAGGGATGGCCTGGGAGGCACTCGTGAGCCAGCCGGGACGACCGCACCACCCAGCCCGCAGGCACCATACTCTGCCCTTCACAGCCCATGGTGCCCAAAACTTCACAGCCAGCTGCGCTCCCTGCCGTCCTGGTAGCTGGCGTTTGGGGACCAGCTGCACCTGCACCCACGAGCCTTGGTCACCGCGTGGGCTCTGGGCGGGACGCAAAGATCACAGAGTTCCCTTCCTCTCTCTCTTACCAACAGGGTCTCTATATTGCCCAAACTGGTCTCAAATGCCTGGCCTCAAGCGCTCCTCCTGCTTCAGCCTCCTGAGCAGCTGGGACCCCGTGTGGCAGCACCAGAGTGTCGGCCACAGGTAAGCAGCAAGGATCTGGGCTGGCCACACACCAGGTGCCGTGCACAGGGCCGCCCTCCCACACAGGAGACCTCGTGAGGCCCCCACAACACCTATGGAGTACCCGCCCCACCCAGGGCAACGTGAGGGGCTCAGCTGGAAGCCCACACTCAGGAGCCATTTGCAGGCAAGACCGGGGCCCCTGCGGCCGCCCGCAGGTGGCAGGGTCAGGGCACTCGCACCTTCCTCCACCCCGCTGTCACCCAGGTCCAGGTCCAGGTCTGAGCCCAGGGCGGCCTCCTCCTCGTCCATCTCCGCCTCTCTGTCCTCGTCCGCTTCGCCAGCTGGCAGCACCGCGTAGCTGTCCAGGCTGATCTGGGGCAGCGTCTACAGGCACCAGGGCAGCAACAAAGGAGACCCAGTGGATGCAGGGGCAGCACTCGGGAGGCAGAGGCCACCGCTGCACACCGGCTGCTCTTGCTGCCTCCAGGAGCCGGAGTCGGAGCCAGCCCTGGGCGCTGCTTCCTGGGCACCGCTCTGGTGCAGTGATCGGCCTTCCGGAAGCTTCCTCCAAAGGCACTGTGAGCCACAGCCCTGTGTGGGAAGGCACTGGCCTTGGGGCCTCCCACAGGCCTGTCACCCACAGGCCTCATGGCTGCCAAGTGCCAATCACTCCTGGCGTGACGGGGGAACTGGGTTCTAATCTCACTTTTTCCCGACCTGACTGCAGCCTGAGCCCCTCCACGTACTGTGGCCTGTGCCCGCTTGGCCCTGGAGCGCGACTTCTTGAATCTGCGCACTTCCTGAGATGAGTCCTTGCGGTCCTCGTCTCCTGCAAGGTGAGGGGGGCGGAAGACCCCTGCAGGTGGCATGGAGCCCCATGCTGCTCCCCATCCACAGCAAGGCCAGCGACGCTGACTGTCCACTGGGGTGGGCCAGCTCAGCTCAAGGCCCTGATCCAGGGGCCCAGTTACCTGGTGGTTGTGACCTGGAGGCTGGGAAAGCCCTCCTGAGCCTGCGGCACATGGCGTGCACCTCCGCCTGCCCCGTGAGGAACACCAGGATGCCGCCTGAAGAAAGAACCGCCCCACAGTCATCCCTTGGTCACTCAGCAAACACTCAGCAAAGCGCAACATCCAGAGTAAGGACCGAGACACGGGAGGCCAGCACTGCAGGAACTGCGGTGCACAGGGGCAGGAAGCGCTACGGTACACCCAGCATAGACACTGCAGCCACAGCCCAAAGGTGCCCACTGGCAGCGCGCCTGCCCTGCTCTGGCCTGGAAGCCGAGCGAATGCCCCTGCCTGGGCGGCCTCAGCCCCGAGGATGCAAAGCCGAGGCTCAGCGTGTGCCTGCACAGTGAGGGCCGAGCCCAGCTACTGGCGGAGGGCACCTGAGTGTCTGGGCTGACTCGCCTGGGCTGCCACTTGGGGGGCGAGTGCTGTGCCCGCTGTGCCACCTGGGTACTCACCTGCAGGCAGCATGCGGTGGATCTTGCACACCTTCCGGAAGCACTCGCCGCTATAGTCCTCCGGCGTGCGCTTGTTAAAGTGCACAGTGACAGGGAACTGCCGCGACTCTACCTGTGAGACAATGCCCCAGGCTCAGCCCAGGCGGCCCCAGGCTCAGCCCAGATGGCCTCAGGCTCGGCCCAGGTAGCCCAGCTCCCGCCACTCCCTCCTGGGGCAGAGGCTGGCTGCCCTGTCCAAACCTTGATGACAGGTGGCGGCCTGGCGAAGAGCCGCTGGTTCTGTGTGAAATCCTCCACCCGCAGTGTGGCCGACATGATGAGCAGCTTCAGCGGCCGTTGTCTCTAGGGGACCAGTCATGCTGTCTCAGGCTCAGTGGGCTAAGGAGACCACCACCCAGCCCAGGGACCCCAAGGACATGGTGGCCCTCAGCCTGACCTAGCTCTGTGTCTGGGACCTGGCTGTCACGGTACTTGGAAACCCAAGCCCAAGGACTTGTCCAGGGGATGGAAGCCCAGCGGGAGTCCTGTGTCACTGCCCGTAACCTCCCCCACCCAGCCCTGCATCCTCATTGTCCCCTATTCTTTCTGTGCAGCCACCAAGAGGCCTCTGAGAGCCGCTGCCAAGACCGAAGAGACAGGATGTGACACCCACAAGGATGATGAGGTCAGGGACAAGAGGACAAACGGCATAGGCCGGGACATGACAAGAGGCAGACCCAGAACAGTGTGGAGTGCCAGGGTCAGACAGAGCCTGGGCGCGGCCCCACCCCCACCTTGGCTCGCAGGGCCACGATGCGCGACAGCAGGCCGATTAGGATGTCAGTGTACACGCTCCGCTCGTGGGCCTCATCGATGATGACCACCTTGTACTTGAGCAACAGGAAGTCCTGGGGAGCAGCCATGTGAGGCCCGAGCCGCCAGGGCCACCGAGCTGGCGCTGCTGCTGAGCCCTCCCTGCCCAGCAACAGCAGGCTGTGGCCTGGGTCTCGGGGCTCTGAGCACGGCTGATGCCTGTAACACTATCAGCGGAGTCAGGTGCACACGTCACCCAGTCAGGGCTCCTGCTCATGTGAAGCTCAAGAGGCTGAGGCACTGCGCCCTCTGAGCCATGCAGCCAGACAGCAGCAGGGCAGCCTCCATCTGGGCCCTGCGCACCCTGGGGGACACATATGTCACCCTGCGTGACTAGTGGGGGAGGCTGGGCAGCCATCCGCAGCACGGGGATAGCGGTCTGAGGCCAGGACCCAGGGAGCCTCGCCCTGGCAGCGCCCAGGCGCATACAGAAGCCAGCAGGTCTCACACCCAGAGCAGTGCCTGGCTCGTCACGTGTTCGCGGCACATCTGGGAGCTGCACAGACGGAGCCGAGCCATAAGCTAAGCCCAGGCACACTTGGTGCCAGGCACTGTGCAAGCAGCTCTTGCACCCCAGTAGGCACCGCGCAGGCGGCACCCATATGCTCCCCGACACTCGCCATCACGCTTGTGACGCAGGACAGACACTGACCTTCTGGATTTCCTTGAGCAGCACACCGTCTGTCATGAACTTGATCCTGGTCTCGTCGGTTATGTTCCCTTCATAGCGGATCTGGTAGGAGACAACCCTGTGGGGACAGGCATGGCCTCAGGAGACACAGGGCAGCGAGGCGGCTCCAGGTTCATGGAGGAGGCCAGGCCGAGACCTAGAACAAGGCCGGTTTTGCTTCGGCCTCCCCTGCCACTGCCACCGCAGGCTGCATGCGGTACAGGACGGAGGAGCCTTGTCACATAGCAGGGCCGCAGCCATCATCCACAAGAGCCCCAGGACTGCGTGGAGGTCCTTCCTCCAGAGCCACATATAGCTCTGAGCGGACGGCGACACAGGGAGTGACAGATGGACAGGCTGGTCACCTGACAGCCAGACACAGGACTCGAAGAGCCACTGTAGATCCACGTGAGCCTGGGGGCAGGTGTGCAGCTCGGTGGTGGAGAACATGCTCAAAGCATGCAAGGCCTGGAGGTGTTCTATCCCCAGCACCTGAACACTCAAGAATGCTAGCTGGGTGTGGTGGGTGCCCAAAATCCCATCACCATGGGAGGCTGAGGCAGGAGGATTCCAAGTTCAAACCCTGCCTGGGCAACTTTGTTTTTGTTGAAGACAAACCAGAATAGTTCATGCTGGTCTTGAACTCATTAAGGAACCCAGGCTGGCCTTGAACTCACAGTGATTCTCCTGCCTCAGCTTCCAGAGTGCTGAGATTACAGGCATGTGCCACCATGCCCGGCTGGGCAACTCAGCCAGATCTTGTCTCAAAAAAAGTAATGAAAAATGCTGAGAAGGCAGCGCAGCATGGAGACTCTGAGCGTCATCTGCGGCATTGCGCAGGCCCAGCAAGGGTTCACGCCGCGTGGGTGCTCGCTGCCAGGGGCCGCGTTTGAGCTTCCAGAACATCAGGTTCCACCCGAGCTTTGGCAACACTAGGTCACTCTGTGGCTCCCTGCACCTGGCCATCTGCTTGGTGCTCATCTTGCCCCAGTGCAATGAGGGCTCTGGCCTTGGGGTCCCGAGGTGTGACGTACGGGAATCCCCTGCTGGGCCCGCGTAGCCCCTACCCTGCCCAGCCCCTCCCACAAGCCCTAGGGCCAGGGCCACCCACGACCTGCCCAGCCAGCTTGGCTCACCGCTGTGACAGACTCATCTCCTTGGCTACACGCTGGGACATGGCCATAGCAGCCACACGGCGTGGCTCTGTGACGCCGATGATGCTGTCCTCACTGCGGAGGGAGACACACATCAGCCCTGCTCCCCTCTGGCATAAGCAGCCATAATTCCCGCCAGGCAGGGTGGCCCCGAGACCCCAGAGCTTCTTTGGTAGAAGTCATCCCATGCATGCCAGCAACTGGGCCCTGGGGACAGGGTACAGCCGGAGTGACGCACCCATTTCTTCTGGCCACCCCGGCCTCTTCCCTGCACCCTATCACACTGGCACTCAGGAGTGCCCTCCACAAGCTGCTGAGCCTGCTGTGGCCTTGGAGACTCTAGAGAACCCAAGAGCCAATAGGGGGACACACGGTGACCAGTGGATGCCACTCCAGGGGCCAGCAGCGAGCCAGGGGCCTCAGCGCTGCATTTGCATCCTTTTGACACATCCACTGGCATTGCACACTGGCATCCCTGCAGCACCGGACCAGAGCAGCTCACCTGGAGCCGCAGCACGGGATCAGTCGGCACAGCCGAGACTGTTTCCAGGAGCCCAGGTGCTCAGGGCCGACGTCCACCTGACCCGGGCCCCGTGGAGCCGCAGCGGCCTCACCTGCTGTAGCCAGCCTCGTAGAGGAACTGCGGCACCTGTGTGGTCTTCCCACTGCCGGTCTCACCGCACAGGATGACGATGCTGTGCTCAGCCACTGCCTCCATGATCACCTGTTCCTCCGACAGGATGGGGAGCTGGAGCCGTTCGGCCTGGGGGGATGATGCAGAGGTCAGGGCCTGGGGTGCATGTGCAGGACGGCAGGGGACAGCAGCCACTCCAGGGACACAAACCAGCGGGCCAAATGGCAGCTGGCACGTGTGTGGTGGCCACAACGGAGGCGTGGAGGGCTGGGGGCACCTGTGCTACAGGCCGCCAGGGGGTGGGGGCTGTCACTGGGAGCCTGTAGGCAAGGGAGGGGTAACCTGCCCGCATCCCGACACGCCTTCCTCCTGACACAAGCTATGTTTCTGTAGTGCAGCGAGGGACACGAGGCCTCATGCAGTTCCTAGACAGGGTCCTGCTAAGCTGCCTGGGGCTGGCCTCAGACTTGAGGCGATCACAGGCATTCATGCAACGCCACCACCAGGACAAACCTGCATCTCAGGGGTTCGGTTCACGGGGACAAATACTGCAGGCCTTGCAGGGCGCCTGGGTGGGCTTGTGGCTGCAGCTCTCGCAGGAGCCGGGCTGGAGGCTGCCGGGGGCTGGCCGCTGGCTGCTGGACTCCCATCTGCAGAGGACCCAGAGACCCCTGCAGGAGGCTGCCCTGCGGCTGCCGTGGCACTGGCCCCATCCTGGTCCTCTGCCAGGGCCTCATCAGACTCTGAATCCTCAGAGGACTCAGGCTGGGATGGGGGCTCCTCCTCATCTGTGTCCAGCTGGCGGCGGCGCTTGCGGTAGGCCCCGCTCAGACTGCTGATCCTCTCCTGGCCCAGGGCTGCCAGCTCATCCGGCCTCCTGCAGAAAAGAAGGCCTTGGTACTTTCAGGGCTCTGGGTCATCGTAGAGGTCAGAACCCAGAGACCACGCCTCTTGCCCCAGGGCCTCTACACAGGCAGTCCCCACCTCTCTGCAGTTCACTTCACTTTTGTCCCTGACCTCAGGGCGCAAATCCCCTTCCTGTGTACCCGGGTGGCGCCTGCACACTGCCCCTCAGCCTGAGCTAAGGAAGGCAGGGACCCAGTGCCCTGCTCTGCCCAGGGCCCAGTGCAGCCCGGACATCGTCCACCTCTGCTGACAGCTGCCGGGCAGCAGAGCCCACCAGGACCAAAGACAGGCACAGGCCCGGCTCTTCACAGCAAACCTCCTACCTTTGACTGCACTGGGGCAGAGCCCGGGGCCTCACACGCGCAAGGCAAGCACTCCACGACAGAGCTACAGCCCTGGCCTTTTGGTTTATTTTCAGACACCGTCTTCCTAAAGCACTAAGAGCCCAGGTGGGGCTTGAATTGAGACTACTGGGATGACAGTCAAGCGCCCCATATCAGGTAGAAATCTATTTTTTCCTCTTCTGAGACAGGATCTCACCATGCAATTCAGGCTACCCTTGAACTCACAGCAATCCTCCTGCCTCAGTCTCCCACGTGCTGGGATCGCAGGCATGTGCCACCAAGCCCAGCCTAAAATCTCCTAGTTCTTAAGTGCTGTATGCCCTGGGTTTAATGGTGTCTCCCCCAAATTCATGTGTGCCGAGAACCCCACAAGCTGACTTTCCTGGCTACCGGGACCCTCGTGGCTGGAGGAAGCTCAGAGCTGCGCGTCACCTGGCCAGGAGACCGCTGTGCTCACACCTCACCCTGTAGGGACACAGAGTACGGAGCTCCGCGGGCCACTCACTCTCGGATGCGGTACATGCGGTCCCCGGTGCCCAGCTTGGATGTGGTGTAGAACAGCCGCATCTCAGCCTCCGACACCTGGACCTCGCTGAGTTTCTGCAGCAGCTCCGCCCGCTGGGGAGGAAGCAGAGCCTGAGGCTTGGGCGCCGACCCAGGAGCCCCTCACAGTGCAGGGTCTGGCTGCGACCCCACTGCTGTGTGTTGACACCCAAGACCTGCACAAGCCTGGGGTGTGGGCCGAAGCCCTGGGCACTGCATGGCGGAAAAGGTCGCAGGGTGGTCCCCAGGTGGCTGGCACCTGGAGCCTGCGAGCAGGCCTGCTGGGATAATGCAGCGCTGGCTGGCTGGCCTGGGGTTTTGTTTTGTTTTTTTTTCTTTTCTTTTTCCGTTTTTGACTTAGCATCTCGCTCTGCAGTTCAGACTGGCCTTGAAGTAGCCCAGGCTGGATGTGACCTGCAGTGATCCTCCTGCCTCTGCCTCCTGAGTGTGGGGGTTACAGGCGTGCACCACTGAACTCTCCATAGGTTTTCAAGGATGCACTGACTTGAGGGACCGCAAGGCACGGCTAGGGCGACCTGCACACCTCATGAAGGACGTAGACACTGTTCTAGTGAGCACAGTGGCCTCGCCTAAAAGGTGAGCTTGCATGTCGGAGGCCTGTACATTAGGGCTCCGGCCCCAGGGCTGGACTGGGGAGCTTGTGGTCCATGCAGTGTGGGTGCTCAGCAGCACTCTGGCCTTGCCCTACTTGATGTCAGCAGCACGCCAAGGGGCTGCAATCCACAAATCCCAAGAAATCTGTTCAAGTCCCAAATACAAACGATAGGCACTCTGGAAGGCAGGACCATGTTTGCATCACAGAGATAACATTCTTATAACTGCAGAGCACAGAAAACTCACTAACATAAATATTTCTTCAGCAGGATATGTAGTAGCACACTCCTGTAATCCCAGCACTTGGGAGGCTGAGGCAGAAGGATCGTTCCCAGTTCAAGACCAGAGAACTGGGGCCGGCAAGATAGCTCAGCAGACTAAGTGGCTGCTTAGGCAAGTGCAGGGACCAGGGTTTGAGCCACCACATGCCACCAGCCCACCCCCTGGTATGCTGAGTCCACTACCAAGACAGGACATGGTGGCGAATGCCTGTAATCCCAGCGTGGGGGAGTCTAAAAACAGGAGGATCACTATGAGTTCAAACTGTGTACTGAGACCCTGTACCAAATACATTAAAAAAAAAAAAAAAAAAGGCCAGCAAAGTAAACCAGTTCACTACAAAGTGTGCTCAAGGCCAGCCTGAACTGCATAATAAGACCCTGTCCCAAAAAATCAGAAATATTAAAAAATTAAAGAAAAAAGCTTTTTTTTTTTTTTTTAATACATTTCATGGGGATTGGGGAAAGCATCTCTAAGCAGAAGGCTGACTGTATACTGGACACATGATGTTATTTTAAAAATTCAGGTGTCTGCTGGGCATGCAGCACCTGTAGTCCTTGTTCTTGGGAGGCTGAGGCAGAGGATCTCTGAGAGTTCTAGGCCAGCCCGGGTGACATAGCAAGAACCTGTCCCAAAAAGCAAAAAAAGATGCTTTGATGGTGTTATGGTAATCCTAGCCTGAGCAGACATGAGAATGCCCCCCACCTGGGCCCTGGGACCATCCTTGTGGGCCTGGGGCCACTTGCAGATGACAGAAAAGGAGCCCAGGAGACAAAGGCGGACACAGAGCAACTCAGCCACAAGCCCAGAAGCCTGGAGCCACAGGGGGTGCAGAAGCAGGGACGCTTGTTCCAGGAGCCCGACACCTCCAGCACCTTCCTCTTGGACCTCCAACCACCAGAACCCAGACTGAAGGCGCCACCCCCGGATCACAGGCATCTGTGATGGCGGTCACAGGAAGGAAGCGGGAGATTTATGCTGCTGGGGATGTGCGCCCAAACCTCTCAGGAGGTGAGACAGTGACCCACAGGTGACCAGGGACAGCAGAAGCTGGCTGCACGTTGGGCTCCAACATACTGCACTCTCTACTTTGTGAATCTCTTTCTTGAGACAGGCTCTCACTATGTAGTCCTGGCCAGCCTCAAACTCCTGCCAACTCTCCTGGCTCAGCCTCCCGAATATGGGATGACAGGTGAGCAGCGCCACACCTGGCCGCTTCGGGCCTGTTTAAGGGACCTTGGGGTTCTACTGGAATTTTTTTTTTTTTTTTTTTTTTATTTGAGAGAGAGAGAGAGAGAGAGAGAGAGAGCGAGAGAGAGAGAGAGAGAGAGAGAGAGAGAGAGAGAGAGAGAGAGAGAGAGTGTGGTGTGTGTGTGTGGCCAACTCAGCCCACCAGGGGGCGGGGCTGGCTGGCATGTGGTGCTGGGGGATTGAACCAAGGTCCCTGATGCTTTGCCAAGCTTGTTCTAAGTAGGTGCCTTAGACCACTGAGCCATCTCTCCAGCCCTGGAATTTTTTTTAAATATTATTTTATTTTGTATTTAGTACAGGGTCTACAGGGTCTCACTACGTAGATCGGCCTCATAGCGATCCTCCTGTTTACAGTCTCCCGAGCACTGGGATTACAGGTGTGTACCACCACGCCCAGTCTCAGAGCACCCCTGGGGCAGGGCCAGCACGGCAAGCCTGGGGATCGAGCTCCTGGCCCATGTCCACCTAAGGAGGCACTTTAATCTGCTGAGCTCTTTGGCTGGCCCTTTCTACTGGTATTTTGATAATTCGCCAGCAAATTACATGGGAAGCCAGCTCCTCCTTCCCTGGGCAGCACTCGCTGCTGCACAAAGCATCTCCCTGACCCCCACATGTGCTCGGGGAGCTGCGCTGCCCCGCGGGGCGGCCTACCTGGCTCTTTTTCTCCTTCTGTTCCAAGATCTTCTGCAGCGCCTTCCTTTCCTTCCTGGTCAGGGGCTTCTTCTCCTTTTTGGACGGGGGCGGCGCCTTGCTCTTCTTTTTCTTCTTTCCAGGTAGCACAAGTACATTGCTGGCATCCACCCCTTTCAGCACGTCCTCACCTGCAAAGACCCTCGCCTGGATCCAGGGCTCGTAGTGCAGAAGCTGCAGGAGGGCGGCGGGCAGCTCTGTCCCCTGGCTTTGACCCCCTCCTGCCTGCGCTGTGAGCTTGGGGCCGGGAACAGAACTGCCCTCACAGCTACCAAGAACCGGTAGCACGCAGAGAATGTGCCGCCGACCTGTATCACTGTGGCTTGTAAGCGCAGTAGCTGGAAAGTTACCGGCCATCGCGTTCTGCTGCAGCTCCTCCAACAGCACCATTTAGGTCTCAGAGCAGGTACCAGGGTCTCAGCCCCCACACTGCCACATGTGCTGTGGGGGCTGCAGTGACAGCTCAGGCGTAGGTCATTATTTATGTTACACAGGGCAGGAGAGGCTTTGACCCGAATTAAAAATAGTCTAAAGCACTCTGGAGGCTGAGGCAGGACAATTGCCTTGAGTTCAAGCCTAATCTGGGATACAGAGTGAATGCAAAGCCAGCCTGAACTGCCCAGCGAGACCTTCTCCAACAACAATAAAAAGCAAACAAAACAATGCATGCTGATTCACTGACTCTCAAGTAGCAAGCATTTGGCCCCTGCAAACCCAGAAAGAGAGCCTGAGATCAAAACCGCGAGAGCTGCCATACAAGGTGGTGCACGCCTGTCACCCCAGCACTCGGGAGGCTGAGGCAGGACTGCCCCCAGTCTGAGGCAGCTTGGGCTCTGTCTCAAACAAACCCTGACAACCACTGTACTACAGGTGAGTGGGCGCAGAAGTGGAGGCTTCTAAAGAAAGCAAGGCTGTCTCGGGCACAGGCAGTGTGACAGATAACTTTCCCCACCTCTCTGGGTCCAAGCCCTCGGCCCCTCTGCCCCGATTCTCCACTTCGAGCTCCTGTCCCGAGCCGAGCCGAGCCGAGCCGGAGCTGCTGTTGGCAGGGTCAGTGCACCTCCACAACCCTCTTCTGCTGAGATTTCAAAGCATTCTCGTTTGCCACAAACACCAGGTTCCTACAGCCTCGGCTCTGACAGCAGGTGGGCGGCCCCCGCCACGGTCACCCTTTACAGATCGGAGCCCAGGCACGAGGACGAGGCGGGGCGCCCCATTCCCAGCCTATCCGTGCGACTCCACAGGAGGGCACTGACTTCCGAATTCCCGCGCCTGCACTGAACGACGCTCCGCGAACGACGGCTGGACACGGGTGGCCAGCAGCCCGGCGTGGGCAGCGGGCTCAGGGGCGATGAGGGGGTCGCATTTTCTCTCCAGGTTCTCTAGAGAGCACAGGAACCTGGTCCCCATGCGCAGCGCTAACACTAGCCTAACACGATCCCTCCCCGGGCTCTTCCAGAACATGGATCTGCTCTGGGACCCCGTCCCGCCGGCCGTCCCGACACCCAGCCCCGTTCGGGGCGCTTTACCCTCCAACTCCAGCCGCACGGGGGGCGGCTCGGGGGCCCCTTTTGAGGGGCCGGGGCCCGCCTGCAGGCGCCCCTTGACGTTGTACCGCCGGCGCAGCTTCCCCATGGCGCCTGGGTTCCGCGAAGTCCCGGCGGGGGGCAGGACCGCGGCGCTATCCAGGGTTCGGCCCACGTGGGTACGCAGACAGCCAGCAAGCCGCGAGACTTCCGCGTAGTGCTCTCGCGAGAGCTGGAAACACCGTGGGGGCTGGAGGCGGGGCCTGACGCTCGCGGGGGCGGGGAGAACAAGGCTAGTGGGCGGGGACTCGCTCGGGGGCGGGGCCTGCAGTCGCCGCTTGAATTTTAGCAGGTTGATTCTCTTAACGCCTTGCGAACTGCGTTTCCAAGCTGAATTATCCATTTATACGAGGCTGGGTGCTCGGAACGGAGGGCTTTATTTGCTTTAAAAATAAAATCTCGGGGCTGGTGAGATGGCTCAGTGGTCTAAAGCACCTACTTAGAACAAGCTTAGCAAAGCACAGGAACCACGGTTCAATCCCCCAGCACCACATGCCAGCCAGCCCTGCCCCCTGGTGGGCTGAGCTGGCCACACACACACTAAATAAACAAA